GGGGGGGCCATTTTTGGGGGTCCTTCGGGAAGTCTTTGCCAAGGTCGTCCTTTGGTTTGCCCTTGGGGAGGGTTATGTGGGGGTTGTTGACAAATGCATCAGAGGCGAACGAAACACAGGACGAAACAAGTACAAGCGTACATGAAGTTCGTGATTTCAAACAACAACAATTACAAACAGTTTTCAGAAGCATTGAGTCATTGACCATTATCTGCGAGTGACAATCGTTGCAGAAATTTAGAAACCACAACATTACAGGACAACGAAACAACAAGGCGAAACAACTGCACCATACATACACGACAATAAATGAAACATGGAGACTGAACTCAATCAAACAATGTGCGAAGAAAGTGTGCAATCGTATGAAACATCGATAGAAAAGTAGAAGGAAAACAAAAAAAATGCAAGCGTTGCAGATGTTGCGCCCATGTCTGAATAAAAAGTGCAATCCTCTGAAATATCGATGCGAAAATTAAACGAACAAGAAACAACAATCTGCACCAACTGCACCTGTGTATGGAAAAAATGTGCAATAGTCTAACCATCTGTACAAATACAAATACGGTCATGACGAGCTGCACAGACTACACCTATGAACACATTACCTCGTTCGAACCACTAAATATACTATACACTGCTAAGAAATACAGGGCGAAAGAGGACCCCCTGTGGGACTAAACATCATTGTCGTCCACAATGTCCTTCCTCCTCCTCTGCGGCGCCACACCTGTGACACCATCGCCGCCACCTGTGCCGCCTACCGGCCCGTGCGCAGTATCCGGAGCATGAACCCCCTCTGTGGCGCCGCCTCAACCCCGCGCTGTGCTCGAAGAAGGTCGTACACGGAAACCTTCTTCCGCTGGCCAAGAGGCATCTCCAAATCGTCGGTACCTGACTCCCAAACGACTGCTGTCTGTGACGGTCGCTGCGCAGGCACCGCCCTCACATCCTCCCGCAATATACGTTCGGCCATGGTCCTCCCGGGGGGCCCACTGTGCTCCGCCTGCTCCCCACTGTCTGTTGTATGCCCCCCAGTACGTGGCATTGCCGCCTCAGCAGGTGCTGTCACGGGCTGCTCCGTCGCCCGGGTGGAGGCCCTCTTCTCAGTCTCCTGCCAACCTGCTGTCTCCGCGACAACGTCCCCGGCCAATGCCTCTCGAGTCCGCGGATGTAAACCGGCCAACCCGGGCTGACTCTCCCGCATCGTCTGCGTCACCCTCCTCACAGTACTAAGACTCTTACCTGCTCTCATCTTCTTCTTCCGTGATTCGGGAGACGGAGACTCTGCAGGTGCCGGTGCGGGAATCCGTCCCCTGACTGGACCCTCAGCATGTACGGGGGTAGTGGCATCTGTGGTGGACGATGGCAGTGACGGGCTGCACGACACGTAAGCTGGGCCCTCTGCCATGAACCTCCTTGACGCCTCAAACACCGATTTCAGGAAAACCTAACAAAACTACAAAACCTAACATTTTTTATAGAATGAAAAAGTACAACATCAAGCTGTTACTTTTGACACATAAAAAATAATATTTTTAACTGTGTCCCGATAAAGGATGCAAAAAAACGGGCAAAAAGTCTAGCAATTCTTAAAATATGCAAGACAATCATTTTTAGCAAAGAGCGTGTTATTGGACTATAAATTGTTCTGAGTAGATTGACAAAAAATAGAGCGTAAACAAGACAATCTTTAAAAACTCGAAATATGTACAAAGAAAAAACAGTTTTAGTGAATACTCATTTATAGAATTGTAAGTCATTTTTAGTACTTGGTCAGAACCAAAATCTGTGAAAACTAATTTATAGATCTATAAATCATATAAGTCATTTTTTGAGCCTACTGTAAAACCCTTGTCAAAAAATATATGTTATGTAAAAGACGAATTCAAACAACTTTTGCCTCGAAAACATCTTCAAATTCTTAACCAACTACGATCTAAAATAAAAAAATGATAAAATATTTTAATAAAAAATAATATATTCGTCCATGTACGAGAGAACATATTCAAGCGAACGTATTCGTGAAAATGACAACATATGGCGTGTTTGGGAGACCCTCCAATACGTTCATCGTGTTGCATACCTTATAGAACTATAAATATGATTTTTTTAGATAAAGAAAAAAATGCAATATTTTGGTTCATAAAGAAACAGTGTTTTGAAAGGTAGTGATTTTCTGGAAAAAAAACTGCTTTTCTCCTCACCACTTCGAGTGGTTTTGAAAAAGTAGTTTTTTATTCCATTTTTTGCGGATCTTTAACTTCACCTAGAATTTTGTTGATGCAGGAGGCCTGAAAAACGTACTATGACAATCTTTGAAATTTTTTGTGCAAACCTAACAATTTGTTTTATTAGGTTTTCACGAATCCTATGTTCTCATTCATCCGTCCGCGTCGATCTGCCTGCAATGGGTCCTCCCGTGCCTGCCGCTCCAACTCCCCCGCTATCATGGCTCCACCGATAGGCAATATACAAACACCCTGAACCGGCGACGAGGGTCTCTCGCCTGCATCCCCACCACCTGCACCACCACACTCAAGCACTGCATCGTCCGTCACACGATGACCCTCACCACCACCCATCTCGAGCATCCTCTCGACCGGTGCCCTCGACGCAATGCTCTGTGTCATCTCGCAACGGCTAGCCAAGTCCTGCGCCCTCTCCCTCTCCTCGCGGTCGATCGTATCCTGCTCCGACTCTGGCGCTCGCTCCTGCACATGTCGACAATCCCATCATTCCCTACTGCACGCTTCAGCTGCCCCGACGAACCCTGTGTCCCCTCTGCTGCCTCCTGCAACATGCTGCTACTGATGTCACCCATGCTGCATGAAGGTATATCCCGAAGTATCTGACTGACGGGCGTAGCCGCTGCGTCCGCATCACCACTGCCACGCTCGCCTGCCGGTGTCGGAGGAAGCCCTAACGAAACATCAAAAATACCACTGAAACTGGCACCCAACTGCGCAGAAGCCCTCCGAACCTGTGCAGCCTCGCCAGCAACCTCTGCAAACCCGCCTGCGACCTCCTCAGACGCCGCTGCAAACTCTGCAGTGGAGGGAGCAGCCTCTGCAGCGGCCTCTGCCGACGCAGCACTAAACTCTGTCGACCCGGCACAGACCTCTCCTGTAGCGGCACCCTCATCAACCCAGTGCACAGTGCGATTGGACGATGCAGACTCTCGCCTCGCCCATCCTCCGCCACCACGACCTGCACCCCCCACACCCCTGCCATCACCACTGCCTCCCCTGCCTGCACCACTGCATCGGTCGGCACGCTGTCGAACCGACGTTCGCAAACCACATGCAGCCTGTGTACCATCACTACCGTCGTCGTCGTCGTCACCACGTCCACGTGTCGGGGAATAGCCGGGATCATCCTCGTCCTCACTGCTGCCCTCGTACCCCTCCCTGTCATCGTCGTCGTCATCGTCTCCCTCGTCAACAATCTCCCGAGTCCTCTGCTCGCCATGTCCAGGATGATCTATAGGTGGAGGGGGATGCTGTGCAGCGGCTCCAATGGAAGCACGAACACTCGAAGGCGGAGGTGGAGGGGGAGGGGGATGCTGCGCAGCGGCTGCAATGGAAGCACGGGCACTCGAAGGCGGAGGTGGAGGGGGAGGGGGACGCGGCGCAGCAGCTGCAGTGGAAGCACGCGCCCGAGGACGCAACGTCTCGGCGAGAGGAACATCGTCGCGACCATCATCAGAATCTCCGAGATCTGACTCCACTGCCAGGTCGTCTAGATCAGACCACGACTCCGCCTCAATCGGGTCCTGAGCCATAGGATCAGGCTCGAGATCGTACACGGCGTCCAACTCAGTCGGCATGAACACCGTGGCACGACGACCGAAATACGTCTCGACGTTGGGCGGAGCCTTCGAAAGGCGATCCTTCCGCCCACGCTACATCCGCCGCTCGCGCTGCGCCTCCGTGACTTGGTCAGTTGGCCGAACACCCTCGTCACGAGGCGGAGGAATAGTGTCCGCTGACTCCTCCTCAGCATCCTCCCATGGCATAACGTACCCTGAACCCCTCCCCTGACAGCGACTCAATCTCAAGTTGGTGGATATCTCCACCAAACGAGCAAGCTTGATAAAACAAAGCTGGTTACGCTTCTTCACCTGAACACGCTTATGGACAGCCCAATTCCTCTCCGCTGGAGAGGCGCACGTCCATATGTGTGTCAGGCGAATGGTGTAACTCTGAAGGAGTGGGACCCCGTCCTCGTGCTGTACCCACCACTGCCCGACCTGCGACGTCTCCTTCTCCCCTCTGCAGGAGGCTGCGTCCCTGTCACCCTCAACCCCTCCATACGTCCAATCGCCCTCTCGACTAAGAAACTCCGCCAACTGCGTGCGCAACGTCTGATACAAATCCTCATCTTCGTCAGTCTGCTGGTGAAGGTATCGCAGCGACTCCTCTGCGAGTGTCTTATCGTGCTCGCTGCGCCTTGCCGCTCCAAAATATGTAATGCTCATGTGGCGAGGGTTGAGGAGGTGGGCCATGCAATGTGCGGGCTCCAACATATGATCGACCCGCGCCTGACAAGCTTGAACAATGATGTTGAGCTCCTCCATCAACGTCCTATTCAGTCTCGCTCTCGCCACCCTGTCAACCATGGCAAGTGCCCTCGACCACATGCGAGTCATCATGCACCCCCCTCTGTCCAAACGGCGTAGCAGCTGCATCACAGGCATCATCAGCTCCACGATGTCCTCCACGTGCTCCCAAAATGGTGCGTACCGCACCTGGCCTGTAAGAAAACAGACCTCCTCCATGCAGTCGGCAACCATTCGTCGCTCATCGTCAACGCCTCCAATGCTCGGCGACGATCAACAACCTCTCCAGCATCAAGTAGTGCGTCGCAAACCTCGTCTGTGCGGGGTACACAAGCTCTCTGCCTCGCCGGAACTGGCCGCAACTGCGGAGGCGGAAGAGGGCTGGGCGGCAGAGAACCGTCGATAAAGGCTGAGAGCCGGCCCGTGCTCTCTGATGAAACGCACGACAACTCGAGCCCTAATGATGGTGCCCTCCCTCTTCCCAAGCTTCCCGTTGGTGCCGTCCTTCGCGATGTCTGACAACAACAAGTTGCAGACATGAACCGCACACGGAAGCCAAGTGATGCGACTATACTTGACTTCCTCCTTCGTGAGGAGCTTGGATGCAGCCACATACGCGGACGCGGAATCAGTGCAAATGACGTTGACGTTTTCGACACCGAACTTGTCAAACACGTCCTTCCATCGCTCCACCATGGCCTCGGTTGTTTCCTGAACAGCACTGTGGCGCTGCACAGTCCTGAAAAGGTAGGCGGTGCGTGGGCAACACAGGATGTGTGTACGGCGGACACTCTAGCAACCGCCTCCTCACTTGCTGGTACTCCGGCCTCCTCGCCGCCTCAAATGGAATGTCGCTCACGTACCACCACTGCAGAAAGGAGTTCGAAAACTCTCGTTGCCACACCGGATCGAAGGTTTCCACCATGGATGTCTGTCGAAGTACTCTGCCTTCTTCGGCAGAAGAGGTGCTGGTGTCGCCTCTGTAACGGTCTTCTTTGCCTTCCTCTTTCTCTTCTTCGATTCCGTGGCCTCCTTCATCGCTTTGGCAGCCCCCTCTTGGCCTCGACGGCCAGCGGCTATCAGCCCCCCATCAAGAGAGGCCCCAATGTCTGCGCCTTGATCCTCGTCGTCATCATCGTCGTCGCCGTCCTCGTCCGGGGTAGTGTCCTCGTCAATGGCCTTGTCCCCCCTCATCTTACCCCTGGCGCGCGCCACCTCTCGCCGCACGTCCATATCTTGTGTATCACTATCACCATCATCACCTCCCCCCTTGGCCGCCCTCCTCTCGTCCTCGTTGTCGTCGTACTCCTACTCCCCCGCCTGCTCCCTCCCCGAAGTATTTCTATTGTCTCGAAACCCACGAGACCTCAGGAAGTCGAGGATCTTCCGATGGTGGCTCTGATCGAACGAGTACTTTGTCTTGTTCCAAATCTCCGCTAGCTGCTCCGCGGAGACTTTAGTACAATTGTTCTTTATTTTGAAGTGTTGTGCGGCCTTCGTCTGACTTCCCTAAAACCCCTGACCACACATTTGCAGTCCATGAGAAAATTCCCATTGGAGTGTGGCAGTGTTTGCCCATTTGTGATCCACTTGAAACCGCAGAACTTGAGCTCCGCCTCCCTTTGTTTGTCCTTACTGACTGGGACAAACGGCTGCTCTCCCCTCCCTTTCCTGGGTGCCATAGTACACACCCCGCAAAGTCAGGAGCAAACAACTGCGTCTGAGACCCTTGGAAGTGTACACGGCCGTTCTCATGCTCCCCCCCAGGGTCACCGGGGCCTTCTCCCCCCCCCCCCCCCCCCCCCCCCCCCCCACCCCCCCTCTCGACCCCCCACCCCCCCCCCCCCCCCCCCCCCACGAACGGAACGCTCCGTATGTACATCCCATACG